GTTACTGAGGGACACAGAATTGTTACTGAGGGACACAGAATTGTTACTCAGGGACAGACACAGAATTGTTACTCAGGGACAAAGAATTGTTACTGAGGGACACAGAATTGTTACTGAGGGACACAGAATTGTTACTCAGGGACAGACACAGAATTGTTACTCAGGGACACAGAATTGTTACTGAGGGACACAGAATTGTTTACTCAGGGACACAGAATTGTTACTCAGGGACAGACACAGAATTGTTACTGAGGGACACAGAATTGTTACTGAGGGACACAGAATTGTTACTCAGGGACACAGAATTGTTACTGAGGGACACAGAATTGTTACTCAGGGACAGACACAGAATTGTTACTGAGGGACACAGAATTGTTACTGAGGGACACAGAATTGTTACTGAGGGACACAGAATTGTTACTCAGGGACAGACACAGAATTGTTACTCAGGGACAAAGAATTGTTACTGAGGGACACAGAATTGTTACTGAGGGACACAGAATTGTTACTCAGGGGACAGACACAGAATTGTTACTCAGGGACAGACACAGAATTGTTACTGAGGGACACAGAATTGTTACTGAGGGACAGACACAGAATTGGACCTGAGGGACACAGAATTGTTACTCAGGGACAGACACAGAATTGTTACTCAGGGACAGTACTGAGGAACACACAATTGTTACTCAGGGACACAGACATTGTTACTGAGGGACACAGAATTGTTACTGAGGGACACAGAATTGTTACTCAGGGACACAGAATTGTTACTCAGGGACACAGAATTGTTACTCAGGACAGACACAGAATTGTTACTCAGGGACACAGAATTGTTACTCAGGGACACATAATCGTTGAATTAAAGAGTATGTCAGACAACATGCAGAGGAGTGGCAGAGGAGGCAATGTTTTAGGAGCGAGCAGACGTGGCAGCAGAGGAAGGGGTCGAGGCAGCACTAGTCGCAGCCAGAGGCCATTGCTCCCGGTGTCATCCAGCGGTCGTGTCTCCACCGACAACCCTGCCGTCATCGATTGGTTGGCTCGGTCGTCTTCCTCTTCCCAGGTCACCTCTGACACCTACAGCCAACGGTCGGTGGGTACGTCAGACACAACCGTTAGTTGGCATGGCCCGGGAGCAAGCCCACTGAAATCACGTGTCCTCTACCTGCCCCTGTCCTTGGTGTTCCCCTCACCAAGCGAAGTATCGCATGCTGTGGGCTCAGCCCCACTGTACAGTGAGGAAGAGCTAACAGAGGGCGGTCAGGAACGGGGGGAGACATCCGCCTCTTCAGCAGCCAGGCGAAGAAGTAGTGGCGAGGAGAGTGGCTCGGTAGCCGGTCTAGAGACAGGTCTGTCTCCTGACCCACACGCAGCCGAGGGGGCTAGTAGTGAGGCGGAGACCCTAAATTGATGATGATGAGGCTGATCGCACTTGGCAGCCTCGTCGTCATCAGGCTATTGCTTCCGCATCATCAGGAGAAGAGGGTGGCAGCTTGGCAGCGAGCAAAACAGTCGGTGGGTTGCCCAGGAGGCAGCAGGGTCGCAGCAGTGTCAGTGGAGGCAAACGGCCACGGAGTAGAGCACCAGCTCCACTGCAGCCTACCACCACGGCCAGTAGTGGTGCCGGTGTGCACGGAGGAAGTAGCAGTCAGCCAGTGAGGAGTATCGGGGGCAAAGTTTCCTACTCGGCGGTGTGTGGCAATTTTTCGTCAAGCCGCCCGAGGAAGTAAACGTAGCCGTATGTCGACTATGTGGCCAGAAAGTCAAGCGTGGCCAGGGGGCCCATGTTGGGACTACAGCGTTGCGGCAGCATATGCAGCGTCGCCATTTGGTGGCCTGGGAAAACCGTGATAAAGATACGGCGGTTCTGCCTGCCCCAGCCCCCGCTCCATCACCCGCTCCGTTACTTGCTCCGTCACCCGACGTCAATCGCCCTCTATCAGCCAGTCAAGGCTCCAACACCTCTGCTGAGGGGAGTTGTCGCTCGTTGGCATCTTCCGCTCGTTCAGATGCTCCTTCTCCTGCTACTCCTCTTCACACGGATTCCGTCAGCAGTCTTTCTTGGAATCCGTTTCCAAGAGACAACAGTTTGCGAGCACGCACCCGACGGTGCAAAAGCTGAACGTCCTCCTGTCCAAGTTGCTGGTGCTGCAGTCCCTCCCTTTCCAAGTGGTGGACTCAGCACCTTTCCGAGAAATGATGGCTTGTGCCGCGCCGCGGTGGAGAGTGCCAAGCCGTCATTTCTTCGCCAAAAAGGCAGTGCCAGCCCTGCATTCACATGTAGAAGAGATGATGGTGGGCCAGTCTTTGAGCATGTCGGTCTCTGCCAAAGTGCACGGCAGCGCCGACGTGTGGAGCTGTAACTACGGTCAGGGACAGTACATGTCATTTACGGCCCACTGGGTGAACGTGGTGCCGGCACAGCCGCACCAGCAACTTGGACAGGTCACGCCGCTTTTGCCTCCACGTTTGCACGTCCTTGGTCCACAAAAGATGTCCGCCTCTACCACCTCTTCTTCCGCCGTGTCCTCAGCCGCCACCCCCCCCCGTGCCAAGTCCCATTACCCGACCGGCATATCACATGTGCAGGGCGCAACGGTGTCACGCTGTGCTGCACCTGGTATGCCTTGGCGAACGTAGTCACACAGGGGAGGAACTTCTGAGTGTAATGAACAGAGAAATCGACAGATGGCTGTCTCCGCGCAAACTGAAAATCGGAACCATGTTGACCGACAACGGAAAGAACATGGTGTCTGCTCTGCGTCAAGGAAGGTTGTGCCATGCGCCATGCATGGCTCACGTGTTCAATCTGGTTGTCAAGCGTTCCTAAAATCCACCATCCCACTGCAAGACATCCTTAAAATGTCACGTAAACTTTGCATGCATTTCAGCCATTCCTACACCGCAAAGCACACCCTCCTTGAGCTGCAGCGGCAGAACGGAATTCCACAGCATCGCCTGATCTGCGACGTTGCAACAAGGTGGAATTCAACCCTACACATGTTAGACCGCCTTTACGAACAGCGAAAGGCCATCACCGATTTCCTGATGTTACAAGCGGATAAAGGTACTCCCCTGTGTAACTTCGATGTCAGCCATTGGCAGCTCATGCGTGACACCTGCCGCTTGCTCAGGCCCTTTGAGGAGGCCACGCTATTCGTGAGTCGGCAGGACTATGGGATGAACGACGTCATTCCTCTGTTGCACGTCCTGGAACAAATGCTGTTAACAATGGCTGGTCAGGGTGCGGTAGACGTGGCGCACAGATCTCAACGCCACATGACCCCTGTGGGGGCAGGACAGGAAGAAGAGGAGGAGGTAGAGGAGGACATTTGTGCTCAGGAATTATTGAGTGAAATGGGTGGTTTTTTTTCCACTCAGCGGACAGGAGTGGAGGAGCAGGAGCATCTGGTAGAGGAGGAGGAGGAGGAGACAGAGGACCCAGAGACGCACCGTGGCAGTATGCTGTGGAGATGGAGGCAGGGAGTCCCTCGCATTCCTTGGCACAAATGGCCCATAGCATGCTCGGTTGCTTGCGTAGCGACAGCCGAATAATAACCATCAGACAGAGGGATGACTTTTGGCTGTCCACCTTGTTGGGACCCTCGCTACCGTTCAAAAATGGTGGCCTTTTTCACACCTGCTGAGAGGGAGGCCAAAATAACGTACTATAAAAACCACCTATGTAGTCAGTTGGTCTCTGCCTTTCTGCGCCAACGTCCATCCTCAGACACTGTGGGCCCTGTGCGCTCGCGTTCCGCTGCCATGGCAGCAGGGGAGGGGTGGGGTGGTAGGAGCAGTGGCAGCTCCACCAGCAGCGGCTGCCTCAGTCTGCAGTCGATGATGAGTAGCTTTCTTCACCAGCGCAGTGAGGAAACTACTAACCAGCCGCAGCAGCAGCAGCATCAGGTGGACCTGGAGCAGGACCTCAAACAACAGGCTTGGGCCTACTTGGACAGCACCCTGCCAACCGAGGTAGACAATCCCCTTGACTACTGGGCAACGAAACTTGACCTTTGGCCCCAACTAGCTGAATTTGCCCTTGAAAGGCTGTCATGCCCGGCCAGTAGCGTGGCATCGGAGCGCGTGTTTAGTGCGGCAGGAGGTATTGTAACTCCGCGGAGGACACGACTGTCCACCCAAAGTGTGGAGAGACTCACGTTTGTGAAAATGAATCAGGCGTGGATTAGTCTGGATTTCAAACCACCAGTTCCTGACACAACTGACTAAATCCGCCATGAATCATGCCCCAAACATGTGCCACTTTCAGGTCTCCTCACACTGCTGGTGTGTTCCATTTTTTGTCATAGGGTGCTGGCAGATTACGGGCCTCCCATTGCTGCTGCCAGGCCCGTAATCTGCCATGGGCCCCCGTACCGCCTCCTCATGCTGCTGCTGCCAGGTCCAGAGTCTCTCATGGGTCCCTGTACGGCCTCCCATTGCTGCTGTCTCCATCGCCACACTCTGCCATGTGCCACTTTCAGGTCTCCTCACACTGCTGGTGTGTTCCATTTTTTGTCATAGGGTGCTGGCAGATTACGGGCCTCCCATTGCTGCTGCCAGGCCCCTAATCTGCCATGGGCCCCTGTACCGCCTCCTCATGCTGCTGCCAGGTCCAGAGTCTCTCATGGGTCCCTGTACGGCCTCCCATTGCTGCTGTCTCCATCGCCACACTCTGCCATGTGCCACTTTCAGGTCTCCTCACACTGCTGGTGTGTTCCATTTTTTGTCATAGGGTGCTGGCAGATTACGGGCCTCCCATTGCTGCTGCCAGGCCCGTAATCTGCCATGGGCCCCTGTACCGCCTCCTCATGCTGCTGCCAGGTCCAGAGTCTCTCATGGGTCCCTGTACGGCCTCCCATTGCTGCTGTCTCCATCGCCACACTCTGCCATGTGCCACTTTCAGGTCTCCTCACACTGCTGGTGTGTTCCATTTTTTTGTCATAGGGTGCTGGCAGATTACGGGCCTCCCATTGCTGCTGCCAGGCCCGTAATCTGCCATGGGCCCCTGTACCGCCTCCTCATGCTGCTGCCAGGTCCAGAGTCTCTCTCATGGGTCCCTGTACGGCCTCCCATTGCTGCTGTCTCCATCGCCACACTCTGCCATGTGCCACTTTCAGGTCTCCTCACACTGCTGGTGTGTTCCATTTTTTGTCATAGGGTGCTGGCAGATTACGGGCCTCCCATTGCTGCTGCCAGGCCCGTAATCTGCCATGGGCCCCTGTACCGCCTCCTCATGCTGCTGCCAGGTCCAGAGTCTCTCATGGGTCCCTGTACGGCCTCCCATTGCTGCTGTCTCCATCGCCACACTCTGCCATGTGCCACTTTCAGGTCTCCTCACACTGCTGGTGTGTTCCATTTTTTGTCATAGGGTGCTGGCAGATTACGGGCCTCCCATTGCTGCTGCCAGGCCCGTAATCTGCCATGGGCCCCTGTACCACCGCCTCCTCATGCTGCTGCCAGGTCCAGAGTCTCTCATGGGTCCCTGTACGGCCTCCCATTGCTGCTGTCTCCATCGCCACACTCTGCCATGTGCCACTTTCAGGTCTCCTCACACTGCTGGTGTGTTCCATTTTTTGTCATAGGGTGCTGGCAGATTACGGGCCTCCCATTGCTGCTGCCAGGCCCGTAATCTGCCATGGGCCCCCTGTACCGCCTCCTCATGCTGCTGCCAGGTCCAGAGTCTCTCATGGGTCCCTGTACGGCCTCCCATTGCTGCTGTCTCCATCGCCACACTCTGCCATGTGCCACTTTCAGGTCTCCTCACACTGCTGCTGGTGTGTTTCCATTTTTTTGTCATAGGGTGCTGGCAGATTACGGGCCTCCCATTGCTGCTGCCAGGCCCGTAATCTGCCATGGGCCCCTGTACCGCCCTCCTCATGCTGCTGCCAGGCTCCAGTCCAGAGTCTCTCATCATGGGTCCCTGTACGGCCTCCCATTGCTGCTGTCTCCATCGCCACACTCTGCCATGTGCCACTTTCAGGTCTCCTCACACTGCTGCTGGTGTGTTCCATTTTTTGTCATAGGGTGCTGGCAGATTACGGGCCTCCCATTGCTGCTGCCAGGCCTGTAATCTGCCATGGGCCCCTGTACCGCCTCCTCATGCTGCTGCCAGGTCCAGAGTCTCTCATGGGTCCCTGTACGGCCTCCCATTGCTGCTGTCTCCATCGCCACACTCTGCCATGTGCCACTTTCAGGTCTCCTCACACTGCTGGTGTGTTCCATTTTTTGTCATAGGGTGCTGGCAGATTACGGGCCTCCCATTGCTGCTGCCAGGCCCGTAATCTGCCATGGGCCCCTGTACCGCCTCCTCATGCTGCTGCCAGGTCCAGAGTCTCTCATGGGTCCCTGTACGGCCTCCCATTGCTGCTGTCTCCATCGCCACACTCTGCCATGTGCCACTTTCAGGTCTCCTCACACACTGCTGGTGTGTTCCATTTTTTGTCATAGGGTGCTGGCAGATTACGGGCCTCCCATTGCTGCTGCCAGGCCTGTAATCTGCCATGGGCCCCTGTACGCCTCCTCATGCTGCTGCCAGGTCCAGAGTCTCTCATGGGTCCCTGTACGGCCTCCCATTGCTGCTGTCTCCATCGCCACACTCTGCCATGTGCCACTTTCAGGTCTCCTCACACTGCTGGTGTGTTCCATTTTTTGTCATAGGGTGCTGGCAGATTACGGGCCTCCCATTGCTGCTGCCAGGCCCCGTAATCTGCCATGGGCCCCTGTACCGCCTCCTCATGCTGCTGCCAGGTCCAGAGTCTCTCATGGGTCCCTGTACGGCCTCCCATTGCTGCTGTCTCCATCGCCACACTCTGCCATGTGTGCCACTTTCAGGTCTCCTCACACTGCTGGTGTGTTACATTTTTTGTCATAGGGTGCTGGCAGATTACGGGCCTCCCATTGCTGCTGCAGCCCCGTTTGCTGTCTCCATCGCCACAATCTGCCATGTGCCACTTTCAGGTCTCCTCACACTGCTGGTGTGTTCCATTTTTTGTCAAAGGGTGCTGGCAGATTACGGGCCTCTCATTGCTGCTGCCAGGCCCGTAATCTGCCATGGGCCCCAGTACCGCCTCCTCATGCTGCTGCCAGTCCAGAGTCTCTCATGGGTCCCTGTACGGCCTCCCATTGCTGCTGTCTCCATCGCCACACTCTGCCATGTGCCACTTTCAGGTCTCCTCACACTGCTGTGTGTTCCATTTTTTGTCATAGGGTGCTGGCAGATTACGGGCCTCTCATTGCTGCTGCCAGGCCCGTAATCTGCCATGGGCCCCTGTACCGCCTCCTCATGCTGCTGCCAGGTCCAGAGTCTCTCATGGGTCCCTGTACGGCCTCCCATTGCTGCTGTCTCCATCGCCACACTCTGCCATGTGCCACTTTCAGGTCTCCTCCTCACACTGCTGGTGTGTTACATTTTTTGTCATAGGGTGCTGGCAGATTACGGGCCTCCCATTGCTGCTGCCAGGCCCGTAATCTGCCATGGGCCCCCGTACCGACTCCCAGAGTCTCATGCTGTGCCGTTGCAACAAGGTGGAATTCAACCCTACATATGTTAGACCGCCTTTGCTGCCGACGAACAGCGAAAGGCCATCACAGATTTCCTGATGTTACAAGCGGATAAAGGTACTCCCCTGTGTAACTTCGATGTCAGCCATTGGCAGCTCATGCGTGACACCTGCCGCTTGCTCAGGCCCTTTGAGGAGGCCACGCTATTCGTGAGTCGGCAGGACTATGGGATGAACGACGTCATTCCTCTGTTGCACGTCCTGGAACAAATGCTGTTAACAATGGCTGGTCAGGTGCGGTAGACGTGGCGCACAGATCTCAACGCCACATGACCCCTGTGGGGGGCAGGACAGGAAGAAGAGGAGGAGGTAGAGGAGGACATTGGTGCTCAGGAATTATTGAGTGAAATGGGTGGTTTTTCCACTCAGCGGACAGGAGTGTGGAGGAGCAGGAGCATCTGGTAGAGGAGGAGGAGGAGGAGACAGAGGACCCAGACGCACCGTGGCAGTATGCTGTGGAGATGGAGGCAGGGAGTCCCTCGCATTCCTTGGCACAAATGGCCCATAGCATGCTCGGTTTGCTTGCGTAGCGACAGCCGAATAATAACCATCAGACAGAGGGATGACTTTTGGCTGTCCACCTTGTTGGACCCTCGCTACCGTTCAAAAATGGTGGCCTTTTTCACACCTGCTGAGAGGGAGGCCAAAATAAAGTACTATAAAAACCACCTATATAGTCAGCTGGTCTCTGCCTTTCTGCGCCAACGTCCATCCTCAGACACTGTGGGCCCTGTGCGCTCGCGTTCCGCTGCCATGGCAGCAGGGGAGGGGGGGGTGGTAGGAGCAGTGGCAGCTCCACCAGCAGCGGCTGCCTCAGTCTGCAGTCGATGATGAGTAGCTTTCTTCACCAGCGCAGTGAGGAAACTACTAACCAGCCGCAGCAGCAGCATCAGGTGGACCTGGAGCAGGACCTCAAACAACAGCTTGGGCCTACTTGGACAGCACCCTGCCAACCGAGGTAGACAATCCCCTTGACTACTGGGCAACGAAACTTGACCTTTGCCCCAACTAGCTGAATTTGCCCTTGAAAGGCTGTCATGCCCGGCCAGTAGCGTGGCATCGGAGCGCGTGTTTAGTGCGGCAGGAGGTATTGTAACTCCGCGGAGGACACGACTGTCCACCCAAAGTGTGAGAGAGAGACTCACGTTTGTGAAAATGAATCAGGCGTGGATTAGTCTGGATTTCAAACCACCAGTTCCTGACACAACTGACTAAATCCGCCATGAATCATGCCCCAAACATGTGCCACTTTCAGGTCTCCTCACACTACTGGTGGGTTCCATTTTGTCATAGGATGCTGGCAGATTACGGGCCTCCCATTGCTGCTGCCAGGCCCGTAATCTGCCATGGGCCCCTGTACCCCGCCTCCTCATGCTGCTGCCAGTCCAGAGTCTCTCATGGGTCCCTGTACGGCCTCCCATTGCTGCTGTCTCCATCGCCACACTCTGCCATGTGCCACTTTCAGGTCTCCTCACACTGCTGGTGTGTTCCATTTTTTGTCATAGGGTGCTGGCAGATTACGGGCCTCCCATTGCTGCTGCCAGGCCCGTAATCTGCCATGGGCCCCTGTACCGCCTCCTAATGCTGCTGCCAGGTCCAGAGTGTGTCATGGGTCCCTGTACGGCCTCCCATTGCTGCTGTCTCCATCGCCACACTCTGCCATGTGCCACTTTCAGGTCTCCTCACACTGCTGGTGGGTTCCATTTTTGTCATAGGGTGCTGTATGGCCTCCCATTGCTGCTGCTGCCTCCACCGCCGCACTGTGGCCCACACTCTGGTTTTGGCCCCGTGACTGCCCAAATGAGTGAAGTGTGCGGTGATTCTAAGATCGACGGCACTCATCTGCATGTCATACTGACTGACAGTATTATTTCTCTTCCCCAGCAGACTCCAAGGGCATTTAAATTAAAGGTACAGTGTTCTGCACTAATATAAAGGCTCTCTGAAGCCTAGAAACACCCTTTTATAAGTTAAAATCGCAGCGAATATATTCGCATCGAATCAAATTTATTCCTCGAATTCGCCGAATCAGCCGAATCGAATTTTTGAATACTTCGCTCATCTCTAGTGTTAATAGTAAGCATGCATCATCAGCACTTCTGCTTTCTTATGATGTTCTGTTTTGTAACTATAGTTTATGCTAGCGTATGTGAAATTATGTGATCAATGTTCAAACTTTTTTTATACTGTATATTTGCCAGAAATTAACATTACCAATATATATAACAAAAGGTGTTAGCACATTTAAGATATTATATGCATTTCTAGTAATGACTGTTTCATAACACTGTAGAATAATTTATAACATCAATTATATTAGTCAAATAAGTTTACTAAAAGGACTAACGCTAAATGTAAATCTCTGGTTTGTACAACCAAGCACTAATAGTGTACATACAGAATTCAGGAAAGATAGTCAAATGATAGGTACATAGATATTCTTTGAGAAAACATTTTATAAATATGTTATAGTACAGTAGTTTGTATTAAAAAATTGGGGGTTCCATCAAAAGTATAGTATCTCCTTCTCATAGCTTCTGGTTTTCTTCCTGTCCACTTACAGTTTGGACATTTCCACCCATTTTGAGCTGTTCTTACTGATTTTGTTGCTCTCTTGATATTACCAAAAATTCAGCATAGAGAGTAGGAACCCTTAATTGTTGAAGTGGGTATGCAGTCCAGGAAACTCAAATACAAAAAAATCACCAACTGAGCCCCTCAAAGGTATATAAAACTTACAGTATATACAATTTAACTCTCATGCTTTAAAAAACTAAATAACACTTTGGAATGGACCTACCCTAGCTTTTCTTGATACCAACATTTTTTTTTTTATTATTGCTGTACTGCACCAGCGCACTCCACTTCTTTTGGTGACCTGATCATCTTGCTGGAACACTTACTGTAGAATTTACTGAGACACATATAATAATTCTTTATTGTCTATAGGCGATTTCGGATAATTAAAGAGCCGGCAAAGTAAAAAATAAAGTGTGATTTTATTTGATCACACAATGGCTTAAACTAATAATGTAAAACATATCATGAATAACAGTTCAGTATAGGTAAAGAAAACATATAAAAAACAGTAGTTATAAACATATGCTATGTTTAGAGTCATGTCTGTCCTGCCATGTGCTTCTTGTCTGATCAATGCAGCATGAGTCTGAGCAAGAAGAAGGAAGTGACGTGATCTTTGGTCTCTAAGAGAATGCACCTGTTTCAGCTTCTCAGTCTGTGAATAACCATAATGTCTACATGCCATGCTTGTGTGTGTGTGTATGGATAGATGTATGTGTTGTGTATTGTGTCCTTTCCATCTCTTAGGATGTCTTTTTATGTTACATGTAGACGTCATAATTCTTATAACTCAGAACCTTGTATGGCAAACAATTCTGCTTAGTAGAGCAATTTCATTGAAGGGAGGGGATACTACATATATGGTCTTTTGTTTGACAAGCCCATAGGTAACACTCTTCTTGATCTGAAACGTAGCTTCATAAGTTGACAATGTTGCATCAGCCTACTCATGTGACCAGTTTCTCTGTTTAAAGGATAGTATAGCTAAGAATCTATCTTTACAACATAATATCTCAATAATGTTGTATAACCAAGAATCTACTTATATAAACATTACCAGTTTCTAAAACATAAATTAAATGCACACAGATACTATTAGAATATATATTATTTGATACTAATTCTATTTGGTTCACTTTTGACTCCCATGGCACCCTACACTATGAGATCTTTTAACCAGCTATGCCCATCTATAGAAATGTCCTAGATACTCAACTTCCAGCTAGTTAACTCCAAATAATCTGACATTTTTCTGGCTCAGCTATAACGGAAAAATTCAACACTATCACTTGTTCAAAGCCAACCACACATTTTA